ATCCCGTTTGCTTTATCTTCACCGCCCCCGCCCTAGTCCATTAGCGACGTCCAGCCGAGCTTTACACGCTAGTCTAACGGGGTCCCATTGCGTGCCTTCTTGCTTCATTCTGAAGCATCCTCCACGGAGCGCTCAAAGTGACCTTTACGAAAAGCACGTTTGGTGACACCGTGCTTTAAACAACTCAAAGGATTTCTGTTGCCGTTAGGGCAAAGCCCTAAAGCCACACTGAGGCTTTCTAGACCCTTCGGCATTGGGGCTCTCTCTGCCAACTTAAACTGTATCTTGAGTCATTCTCGACCTAATTTCTTGCTCTCCAGACCCAGATTTCTTTCAGTTTTTCTACCACACCTACCTGCCTTTTACCTTGCAATCCTTGAACTTGTTTTTCTCCACCTAGAATAATCTTCCTTTTCTCCTTTTCCCACATTTATTTGACCGATTCCTACTCATTGTTAGGGTCTCAGTGTAGGTGCTTCTTTTTCTAAAATGTCTTCCTTGATAGCCCTTTCCTGTATTTCCCAATACTGCTCTATCACATCCTACTGTATTTGCCTGTTTACTTTCTGTCTGCATTCTGCACTAGACTACTTCAGTGAGGAAGGACAGAATTGTATCTATATTCTTCACCTTTATAATCCCATCACTTAACCCAGTGGCTAAAACTGAGTAAGGGTTCAAGACATATTTGTTAAATAAATTATGTACTTTAGTTAAAGTTCGTTAGGATTGATATTTTATTGCATTATAGTTTTCTGTATTTTTAACCTAAAAATAAAACTATATAATTTGTATAATCAGAAAACATATTAAATGTTCAATATACAGGCCGGACATGGTGGCTCACTCCTGTAATCCTAGCACTCTGGGAGGTCAAGGCTGGCGGATTGCTCGAGGTCAGGAGTTCGAAACCAGCCTGAGCAAGAGCGAGACCCCGTCTCTACTATAAATAGAAAGAAATTAATTGGCCAACTAATATATAGAGAGAAAAAATTAGCCAGGCATGGTGGCGCATGCCTGTAGTCCCAGCTACTGGGGAGGCTGAGGCAGAAGAATTACTTGAGCCCAGGAGATTGAGGTTGCTGTGAGCTAGGCTGACACCACGGCACTCACTCTAGCCTGGGCAATAAAGCCAGACTCTGTCTCAAAAAAAAAACAAAAAAAAAAAAAAACCCAATGTTCAATATATATAAAATGAATTTAAAGATGCTACTAAAAGTAGTAAGATCATATTTGTGCATGAATTTGGTTTTTCACAATAATGAATTATACCTTGGTCCCTATTCTGAAATAGGGTTTTAAAATAAACCAAAAGTGGCCAGGCGTGGTGACTCACGCCTGTATTCCTAGCACTCTGGGAGGCCGAGGTGGGCAGATAACTCAAGGTCAAGAGTTCGAAACCAGCCTGAGCAAGAGTAGACTCTGTCTCTACTATAAATAGAAAGAAATTAATTGGCCAACTAATATATAGAGAGAAAAAATTAGCCAGGCATGGTGGCTCATGCCTGTAGTCCCAGCTACTCGGGAGGCTGAGGCAGAAGGATCACTTGAGCCCAGGAGTTTGAGGTTGCTGTGAGCTAGGCTGGCGCCATGGCACTCACTCTAGCCTGGGCAACAAATCGAGACTTTGTCTCAAAAAAACAAAACAAAATTCAAAAGTAACAAAATGTGATTTGCCAACTCTAGTCATTCAAGAGTGCATAGTTATAGCAGTTCTTCATGAAATGCCAGCCTCATTTTAATTCAGATTTACAATACTGAAAATGACTCTTGGCTTTATTTTAGCAATTTCATGAAGAAAAAGTTCATTCACAGAGCTGGGTAAACTCAAACACAGGTTACAGAGCAATAATTTCAGGATTGCTCTGAAATCCATGTTTCCAAAATTTAAGGCAGTGTCACACTGTCTAGCGTAGTTTAGTTGTATCTCAATCTGCTTCTCTTGAAAATAAGCTACAGTTTTGGCTGGATAATTCAGAAATATCCTGAGATTTGCTCTTTAAAAGCTGCCACAAAAAATTTAAAGCATAACTCATACTAATTAAAAGCTATGGATCTCTTTTGAAAGTGTGAAATGGATAAACTTGATAAAAGTATGTTTTGAATTTCTTTTTCATTCATTTAAAAAAATCCCTATTTTTGAAACATGATTAGGCTCTTGACTATAAAATATGTGATTCCACTGAACTCTGGGCAGCTTAGCACTGGAAGCTCAGTACAATATACTCAATCCCCAGATACCATGTTTCCCCCAAAATAAGACAGTCTTATATTTATTTTTCCTCAAGAAGACGCCATAGGGCTTATTTTCAGGAGATGTGTTATTTTCCCCTCAGAGCCTCAGCTTGCAGCACGCACAGGATGGCCAGAACCTGCCAGGGGGAGCCAACCTTGTTGGTGGGGCTGCCCGAACCTTTCAGGTCACCTCTGGGATAGTAGCTGTCATGATGGGGCAGATGAGAAGGGCTGCTCAGTCGTCTTTACCGCTGGGGACGAAATGCATGGGCTGTGCAGAAATGCTGCATAGCCACGCCCATCACTAGGTCTTATTTTCAGGGTAGGGCTTATATTGTGCAAGTGCTTAGAAATCCTGCTAGGGCTTATTTTATGGGTAGGTCTTATTTTCGGGGAAACACGGTACACTGGGAATGTGAATACCTGCCCTCCCATCAACAATAATACTTCCTATGAAATTACAAGTTTAGTGTGTTTGGCTGTCTTGTCCTATTGGCAAAAAAAAACCCAAAACACCATATTTATTACCAAGGATATGTGTAGAAAGGAAAAATAAGAATTTTAAGAAAAAAGAAATAATATCAAAAAAAAAAAACTCAAAACAAAAAAATTTACTCCTCTGTGAACTACTAAGAGTTGCATTTCTTAGATTAGGAGAAACAGCTTGAAAAATCTCTGAGTTTTTATAACCTAGAGTTGAGCATTTCACTATACAAAAATTAACCAAGGCCAGGAGCGGTGGCTCACACCTGTAATCCTAGCACTCTGGGAGGCCAAGCGGGAGGATCACTCAAAGTCAGGAGTTTGAGACCAGCCTGAGCAAGAGCGAGACCCTGTCTCTACTAAAAATAGAAATAAATTAATTGGCAAACTAAAAATATATATGGAAAAAATTAGCCAGGCATGGTGGCACATGCCTGTAGTCCCAGCCACTCGGAAGGCTGAGGCAGAAGGATCGCTCAAGCCCAGGAGTTAGAGGTTGCTGTGAGCTAGGCTGATGACGCCACGGCACTCTAGCCTGGGCAACACAGTAGACTCTGTCTCAAAAACAAAAAATTAACCAAATATCCATAGTCTGCCATTCTTTCTAAATATCTCATATTCAGAATCAACCTATATGCTCATCAACTGATAAGTGGATAAAGAAGATGAGGTATAAATATATTAATATATATACATACATACATACATACATACCATGGAGTACCACTCAGTCATAAAAAGGAAGGAAATAATGTATTTTACAGCAACATGGATGGAACTGGAGACTATTATCCTAAGTGAAATATTTCAGAAAATACCACATGTTCTCACTTATAAGTGGGAGCTAAACAATGGGTATTTATGGTCATAAAGTGGTGTAAGAGACGTTGGAAACTAAAGGGGGAGATAAGGATAAAAAAATTACCTTTCGGTTACAATATACGCTATTCTGGTGACAGGTACACTAAAAGCCCCAACTTGAGCATTATACAATTCATCCACGTAACAAAAAAACACTTGTACCCCCTAAATCAATTGAAATTAAAAAAAAAAGTCTCAGCAGGGCGTGGTAGTTCATGCCTGTAATCCTAGCACTCTAGGAGGCCGAAGCGGGAGGATCACTTGAGCTCAGGAGTTTGAGACCATCCTCAGTAAGAGCCAGACCCTGTGTCTACTACAAATAGAAAAAATTAGCTGGGCATGGTGGCACATGCCTGTAGTCCCAGCTACTCGGGAGGCTGAGGTGGGAGGCTGCGGCAGGAGGATCGCTTGAGTTCCAGGTTGCTGTGAGCTAGGCTGACACCACAGCCTAGGCAACAGAGTAAGACTCTGTCTCAAAAAAAAAAAAAAAAAATCTCATATTCTGTAACTGGGATGGACAGGAGCATGGGGAATATTAACAATTTCCACATGCTTTCTACCCCAAAGACATGTGCCCTAAACCCCCTGTGCTGTAGGTAAACCCTAGAATGTCAAGACTAGAGTGACCTTTTATCCAGGTCACCCTTATTTTAGAGATGAGGAAATTGAGTTCCAGAAAGGAGAAGTGGCCTATTCAAGGTCACTCAGTATGTGTGTAGCAGACTCAGTTTTCCTGCTTCCTTTGCTCTGACATCCTACAGCAACTTACCTATGCAGGCAAGGTCCCAGAGGACAGGAACCACGGACACAGTTTGCTAGTATGTATGAATCCCTGAAATTTGCTCACATTTAGGAATAAAAACTTTTTATAGTGAAATACGCTTAAGACTTCCCCCTTCCTGTCTCTTCTGAGGCAATAGTTAACACTTATGCAGCACTGACTATATTGGAGAGTTCTAAGCCCCTATTTATTTCTCACTTACAACCAAATGACACCCATGATTATCACAGTCCCCATTTTACAGATGAGAAAACAGAGCCACTCAGAGGTTACATAACTGCCTAAGGTCACACAGGTAATTAGTGGAGCTGGGACTCAAACTCAAGCAGGCAGTCAAGTTCCAGAGTCCATGCTGTGAACTCTCAATTATATCCTGGAAGGAGTAGCCTGTTCCAGAAAGGGGAATGAAGATGCCGGTACTAATCAATTGACTTTTGGGCTACAGCTTAACCATTCAGAGACTCCTGTCTCTCCCAGCTTCTCTCTACATGTCCTTTCTTCCCTGTAGGAACTTCTTAGGAGACCCACTGTGTGTGTCATCTACCCAACCTCATTATCTGGGCCCCTGTCTCTCATCTTCCACACCATCCATACCACACCTCAGACTATTTGCCTTTCAAAGGATAACCAGTTGTCCAGCTTATAAACTCCAATTTGACTTTAATTTAATAAATTAAATTCCAAGCCATCACACAGCAATGGACATCATCATCGTCATCTCCCAACATACAGAGGTGCAGCCTGCTCTTGCTCCATCATCACACAGTCTTTAAATAAAGCCCATAAAGCCATCTCTCTGGGGAAGGCTTCCCACCAGGCTCCTGGCTCCCTCCTTCCAACAGAGCCACTGCTCATAGAGAAGGCATCAAGTACAAAAAACGGTAATAAAAGGGAAGGGGGGGTGAGGAGCAGAAGCGGAGGCAGGGAGGTGGGGAGTACCTGCCCCCCATCCTGGGCACCGGCCCGGCTTTCTATGAGCTGCAATGTCCTCAGAGGCAGACACTGGTGCTGGTCTGAGTGGAGACCTGAGGGAAGTGTGGGACAGAAAAGAAGGGTCACCTGGGAGAGATGCCCTCTATCATCTGTTCACTGAGGGTCCTAGACCACACATATAAATAGAAAAGAGAATAAATAAGGGAGGAAGGATCAGCTGAGGAGCTGAGCACCCTGGGACTCCTCTCAGGGGCCAGTGTCAGCAGGAGGCAAACGCTGAGGAATGCCACACATGCCAGGACAGAGCCCTCCTCTTACTCCCAGCCACCAACTCCCTCTTCTATGTCCTCTGCAACGGGTGCCCACCTCACATGCTTCCCGTTGCAAGTACCCTTCCAATCGGCCCCATGGCCCAGGGTGGACAGGGCTTCCTGGAACCCAGAGGGCTTTCCTGACCCTGGCACTGGGAATCCAGGAAAGGGTATGGAAGGGGATGTGGGGAATGGGCTGAGAGCACTTTTGCTCTCTCCTAGCTCAGGAGGTAAGGAGGACCCTCAGAGCTGGGGGCTGGGGTTGCCGTTGGCCTTGGGTTTGGATTTGAAGGAAAAGCGCTTGATAAGGCGGCGAGAAAAGCTGCCGGCCTTCTTTCGGACACTGGGTGTGGCCGTTGTGTTGGAGAGGTCATCGTGTGATTGGCTCAGACCAGCTTCCTTCTGTCGAGGCTTCCGGCGGAAGATGAGCTTAGTGCCACTGCGCAGGAAACTCACTGCAGGGGAAGAGGGGAAGCTGAGGCAGAGAGAGGGGGATGGGGTGGGGTAGAGGGCAGAGAAATGACGGACAATGGAGGGATAGAAGATGCAGAACAGAACCAGTCCTTTGGCCCAGAAGCCAGACTTCCTTAGGAAAGGAAGTAGAAATAAATATGTGTTTTATCCTTTCTGTGGAAAAAAATTTAGTAGTCATCGGATTCTGTGTATACTCCTGACTCTGCCCCAAAAAGGAATGTTATGGGGCCGGCTACTCCATGAGGACAAACTGGGATTGGGCCTCTTTCCTAGGGAAAGACAAAGGCTAAGCAGAGTGTGTCCCCAAAAGCCTATACATCATGAAGAGAAAGGTGGGTTGACACCGACTTGTTTACTGAATTCCAGGCTGTGAGCAGGAAGTGGTGTGTCTGGAAACTTCAAAGAGGTACATTCAGAACCAGTGTGATGAGGAAGGTACTTGCCCAGCAGGTTTTGGACTTAGCATTCTCATTATCCCAAGAAGTGATGAGAGCTTAAATCATAAATAGATACACTGTGGTTGATAGACTCATTGGTAGAGGGAGGAAGATGTTTTGGAGCAAGCCCCTCTTCCTTTGAAGTTAGAAGAACTACCACAGCTGTCCACAGCCTATGTCACTGCCAGAGGGACAATCCTAGGGTTGGTGGGGGATAAGATTTCTTATACACATAGGGGAGAGGATACAGAAATAAAGGTAAGAAATTTGGGCCAGGCATGGTAGCATGCATCTATAATCTAAACTACTGGGGAGGCTGAGGCAGGAAGATCGCTTGAGCCTGGGAGTTTGAGGTTGCTGTAAGCTATGATGATGCCACTGCATTCTGGCCCAAGTGATTGTCTCAAACAAAAAAAAGGGAAGAAATTTTTTTCTTTTTTCTTTTTTCTTTTTTTTTTTGAGATCGAGTCTCACTCTGTTGCCTGGGCTAGAGTGCTGTGGCGTCAGGCTAGCTAACAGCAACCTCAAACTCCTGGGCTCAAGCAATCCTTCTGCTTCAGCCCCCTGAGTAGCTGGGACTACAGGCATGTGCCACCATGCCCGGCTAATTTTTTCTATGTATTTTTAGTTGTCCAATTAATTTCTTTATATTTTTAGTAGAGACGGGGTCTCACTTTTGCTCAGGCTGGTTTTGAACTCTTGACCTTGAGCAGTCAGCCCACCTTGGCCTCCCAGAGTGCTAGGATTACAGGCATGAGGCACCACACCAGAAATTTTTTTCTTAAAAGAGAGAGTAGGAAGGCTAACACCTAGACTCAGGAAGAAACAAAAATGGAGGTAAAGGGAAATAATTTGGCATCCCTTCCTATCACCCAAGCCTGCCAGTTCCAGACCAGAAACCAAGGCACAAAGTTCCCCCGCCTACTCTAGCTTGGCTGGCGCAGGCTGAGAACTCTGGAGATCTCTTAGGGGAGGAAGGAGAAGGCAAGTTGGCTTGAGGGTCCTGGGTCCCTGAGTATCCAGTAGTACCCAGTAATGCTATTGGGTATAAAAGAGGTGGGGGCATCCTACCAACATCTCCCACCTTTGTGATCCTTGAGGCTACGGGTCTCCAGGGCACCAGTGGACCCTGTTTCTGACTCAATGTCATCGACGGATGGTCTCTCAGAAATGTCGGAACGTGTTGTCTCATCTGCTTCCTGGACACTTGTGGGACTGGAGAGGGCATCCAGGGGTCCAGGGGACATGGCTGGTGGGTCTGAGGGAGGTGAAGAGGGACCTCCTCTGGTCCCTGAGTCATCCTGCATTGAGGCTTCCAGGGATGCTGCATAGCCCAGGGATAGTGCCAACTCATCCTGAGCAATGGGCACCTGGCAGGAGGGACAAGTTTTAATGGCCAGGAGTGACCCATCAGGGCTTTCTCCCTATCCCAGCTCCTCTCTCCAGAGCCCCGTTACCTTGGAAACACCAGAGATGATGAGAGTGCTGCGCTTGGTGGGTGTCTTCTTGGCTCCCCGCCCGCTAGGCTCAGTCAGCTGGCGAATCGCTGTCTCTGCCACAGGGTCCAAGCCGTTGGAAAGCTGGCTTTCCCCTGCTGGGGACACAGAAGATGGACAACCTGACTTCTCCCTGCCTCCCTCTTGGATTTGAACTCCTCCTGCCCCACCCAAAGTGGTTTTTGACTCTGGTACACCAGGGCCAACCCACACTCACACATCCCATTCCCCACTCACGGCTGCTGCTGTGGGAGGTATTGCTGGGGCCACTGCTCTCGCTCAGCACGGTTGTCGTCTTCTCGGTCACCTCCACCTTGGACGGGGAGCGGGAGGGGGAGTCTGGTGGGTGGGGGAGGGTCAGTGAGCTGGGAGGTGCTTTAGAGTGGCCCCCACCCCTACTATCTTTATTGAGATACAGACTTGGTAACACAGAGGGCAAGGATGATTAATCACAAGGATGATTAAGAAGATGCCATGGGGACAGAAAGACACAACTGGAGCCCACAGAAGTGTGGGGAGGTGTCATGGAAATATGGAGGGCGTACAGGGGCCCCCTGGAGGTAGGGGCAATTCTGTGGGGACCCAGAGATAGGAGAAGTGTGATGGAGGGCCACTGAGTGGGGGAGAAAGGCTACAGAAGCCTCTGGGTTTCTTGGAAGATCCCACAGGGTGTCAGAGGATTGAAGGTACAGGGAGGGACAATTAGCCAGTTGGGGCTGGAGACAGGGAAGGAAGGAGACCTGTGAAAAGACAGAGAGGAACTTGGCCAGGTGGAAGTACACAAAGTCCTGTGTGAGGGTGGGTAGATCCAGGATTGAAGGGTGAGAGGAGTAGTTAGGGAAGTGGCAGGAGGTAAGGGAAAGCGTGAGAGATACAGTGATTAGGAGGAAGCTGTGGGAGGATTGGAATGGAATGTCCCAAAACAGGTGCACTGGAATTAGGTCTTTCCTTCCCCTCTCCCTGTCCTGCGATGGGTCTGCAGTCCAGGAACCCTGGCTAGAGCTGGAATCCTAGGCTCCTCCTCTTTACCTAATTTGCCATCTATACGTGGCCGGGACTGGACGGTGGTGACCGTGGTGACAATGGTGCCATCGGGCATGATAGTCCGGTCCAGCTCAATCTTCTTGGTAGGTGTGATGCTGGGGCGTGGAGTGGAGGGGGTGGGCGTGCCCAGGTTCTGGGGAGAGCCCTCCTCGTACTGCAGCTGCCCAGGGGCGAGAGAGCAGAGAGGCAAGGCCTCAGAGACTGCCCATCCCCTGTGTCCTCCCCCTCCCCCCAGGGGTTCATGTCTCACCTCCACTGCCATGGTGGCTGCTGGTCCCAGGGCTTTCCCTGGCCCTGGGGTGAGTGGGCACACCTGTCTTCGAGACAGTGGTCTGGAGGGGGAGCCCACAGGCAGTGTGGCCTGGCCCAGGAGTTCAGCTAGGGAAAGGGGTGGCACTGTGAGCTGGGCCCATGACCAGGCCATCCTCAGCACCCAGCCAGAGGTGTCCCCTCCTGTCCCACACTCACTGTCTCCACAGCTGCTGCTCCTCAGTACTTTCAGGGTCAGCTCCCGGCTCTGCGCACCCACATCTCTGTGGGCCAAAAGGAGACCAGGCAGGCAGGGGGAAGATTAGCAAACCGAACCCATCCTTCACTCAATCACAGTCCAGACAGAGAGAGATGTACGTCAATAAGATGGTACAAGTGCTCCAGTCAGATTATCCTGTCCTCCAAATACTCTCTCTCCCAATGAGAATGGGACAAGGCTTGAGCAGAGACTACAGTCCTCAGCTGGGCACTCAAATCCTCCCTGGCCCTGCTCCACCTGTCTTGCCAGTCTCTTGGTCTCAAACCACCCTCTTTCAATTGCTTTTGTTGTTCCCTCTGCTGAGAATACTTTCATACTCTGGTGAAACCCTACTCTTGCTCTAAGGTGCGTTTTATATGCCACCTCCTCCATGAAGCCTACTCTGATCCTTATTCCCCTAACAGAATTTAAGCACTCCTACGGCATGTTATATAAACCTTGACTGGAGCAGTTGTACTATCTTCTTTGTGTACATCTGTTTCTGTCTCTGTCTCAAGTCTATGACTGACCCAGGGAGGGGACTGTATGTTGGTCATGTCTGTATCCATAAGACCTAGGCTAGGGCCTGGCATACAACAGGGGCTCACACCAAGGGCCACTGGAAACACAGCTGATTCATGCCAGGGATATGCTGGAAGGGTTTGATCCTCAGTCTGCCCATGGAGCAGGGGTGAGGGTGGTGTCACTCCTTACAGTGCCAGGTCCTCTGTCCACTCCACCTCGGGACCAGCCCTCGCAGGCTTTGTCCACTTCTGTTGCATGGGGTTGTCGAGTTCAGCTACACAGCATAGTTCCTCGGTGCCTGTGAGGAACCAGAAGTTAGAAGATGCTCAGATCAAAGACAGGAAGCCACTGAGGAATAAGAGAGGCTGTACCTTTGACAGAGGGGCAGGGAATGTCTGCAACCAGAGCTTGACTGTCCCCCAGCTGCTGCTAGCTCTCACCTTCCAGCTCATTTCCCAGGTGAGATGCTCGAAGCTGCCGTAGGAATAACCGGGTAGGTCTGGGGATGGCTGGCTGGACCTGGGACATCATGGGTGGCTTCTCACTGGGTACCTAAGACCAGAAGGATGTGAACAGAGCAAGAATCCTGACATAGTACCCTGGGGACAGGGTGCATGCAAATCTTTTGGTTTGGGTGCTACTCACCAGGCTTCCTGGGGCAGAGCAAGCCCTGAGGTTGACCATCATGGCTGGCTGGGTGCTGACTATAGCATCTTTGATCATTTCCTCAATCGTGGAGAGTTCTACTTGTTCCTCATCTCTCTGCAGAGAGAAGGGGACAGCAAAGAGGTGGAACTCCCAGCTCTGCCTCCCCTCCCTGCTCTGCCTCTTCTCTGCCAGCCCTGCCTCCTTACCTCCCTGGCCTGCAGCTTGGGAAGCACCGTCAGGCTGAGATCTGGGCGATCGGTGAAGGCCCAGGATACTAGCAGTCCCTCACCAGGGATTTCCTCCAGGTTGACTTCCAACTGTGGACAGGGAAAAAGCAACTGGGTTGGATTGTCTGACTCCTCAATGACTCTCATCCCCCAGGACCCTCTCTTCCTGAAATCCATCCCAGAAAAGAATCAAACGTAAAAAGCACAGCCAACTGAACCACCCACCCCCTGCCCAACTCAGTTTACCATGTCCCCCCCTCTACCTGTGTTGGTGGCAGTGTCAGAGTGACGTGGTAGGTCTCCATGGAGACGGCAGCGGGGGACTGCTGGGTCACAGAGACTGGGAACCGCACCTCCTCAGCAGAGAGCTGGCAATGCAGCACCTAAGAAAGGGGAACAGGGGCAGGTGTGGAGGAAGAGTGCTCACCCTGCTTTGTCTTGCCCTATAATGGTTCAGCAGACCCCTCCCCACTTTGGTTTTCCTTGGGACTTCACCTTTTTGGGTTCATAAATCCCTAAAAGAATCAGGTAAAAGCCAAAGCCTCCTCTCCCCAGAAAAATGTAGGTAATACAAATGTACAACATTTTGCACACAACTTCAGTGAGATTCTTAGACCTCCTGAAACTTATCCTTAGATCCCTAAGGCAGTGGTCCCCAACCTTTTGGGCACCAGGGACCAATTTCATGGAAAACAATTTTTTCCACAGACTGGGGGTAAGGGAGGTCTTGTGGAAGGGTGGTGCAGAGCTGGCTGGGTGTGATGTGTAGGTAGTGATGCGTAGCCCATTTCCTAACAGGCCACGGACCAGTGGCCTGTTAGGCCATGGCCCCAGGGATTGGGGACTGCAGCCCTAAGGCATTCACAGACTCCAAGTTAAGAAGCCCCAGACTAGGCCAGGCCTGGTGGCTCACATTTGTAATCCTAGCATTCTGGGATGCCAAGGCAGAAGGATTGCTTGAGCCCAGGAGTTCAAGACCAGCCTGAACAACAGCAAGGCCCCATCTCTAGTAAAAATAGAAAAATTAGGCATGAATAATGGAATGCCTGTAGTCTCAGCTACTTGGAGGCTGAGGAAGGAGGATCACTTGAGCCCAGGAGTTTGAGGTTGCAGTGAGCTATGATGATTCCACTTCACTCTAGCCCAGGCAACAGAGCAAGACAGATCTCCAAAAAAAGAACCAAAAAAAGAAAATACACCCCAGACTAAAAGGAACACTTGGGGTCAGGTCCCAAAGAGGGCAGTAGACCCTTAGACCCTTACCATGGTGCGTTCTGATTGGTCTATGCAGGTCACATGACTGATGCTGGCTCTCGGTGGAAGTTGGGGCACCTCTTCAAAGGCAATTTGGATAGAGCTCTGAAGGAGTAATGTGGACACAGCATCAGGTCTCTGGAGCTGCCCCCAGCAGGGCTGGCCTGCTCAGTTGTTGGCTAGGCCCCGGTACTGCGGAGACCTCAGCTGCAGGCTGGCTCTCCTTGGCTCAGGGCTTTAGGAAAGGAGGTGTTTCCCCCAAACCCTGCCTCTCCAGGGGCTTCCAGCTGCTAGGGGCCACTAAGAACAGGGGAACTAGTCCACCTCAGAGACTAGATCACCTTGAGCTGAAGCCCCTGGATTCCTCCTTTTCCTCCTAGAATACCAGCAGCCTCCCTCATCTTCTCTCCCCTTCCTCTTCATCCTCCACACTAGCCCCAAAGCAAGGTACACAAAGGAAACAAATTAAGGTGTTGGTTGCCCCCTACACATAACAGCTGCGCAGAGAGGGAAAAGGCTGAGCTAAAGGCAAAGGCAGGAGGGCCATTTATTGTAAGATAAGAGTTGGAGAAATGGGGCTAGGCCTTCTTCCAAATAAATAGTATGTGGAGGCTCAAGAGTATGACTCTATCCATATGCTTGGAGATGAATACTAGCTCAGCATGGCCTTGGGGAACTTTACCAGGGGGAATGGGAAGAGACACAAGCTCAGAAGGCTCAAGAGTCTAGGGGCCTGGCTAATTCCTCAAGGCAGACAGCAGGATGGTATTAGGGAACAGAAAGCTGCTTAGCTTAGATCTCGAAAGAGCTGCTGCCTAATTCTTCCGCGGTAGTGGAAACAACCTACTGTAGCCCCATCTGGGGAGCAGGATGGGAAGAAGAATTGAGGAGAGGGCACAGACTGAGCTGGCAACTCTTCCTTGGGTCTTGAGAGAGAGGAAACAGATCCACAGGGCTCATTTGCCTAGCAAACCAGGGGAAGCCAATTTCTCTGCTCTGGTAGCTGGCTCATTCAAAAGCTAGGTCAAAGAAGATGGGAAGATGGATGCTTGGAACCTCAATCTCCCCACCTTCTACAAGGGAGGCTAATACCCAGCTGAGTCAGCTGTCCTGGGGAGTTGCATTTGACCCAGGGACAAGGTGCAGGGAGAGTTGGATGGAGGGGTGGGTTCAAGGTGTAAACTGATAGATATCATCTGGCTTTCAGTTGGCCAGCTGGGCAGAGGAAACAGAACAACTTCTGTGGCCACTTCTGTTTCCAGGCATCTGGAGAACTAGCAGGGTAAAGCCTCCAAACTCATGGTGTCTAGAAACAGAGAACCCTCTGAGCAAGGAGCTGATGGACTATGAGGCCAATGAGACACTGCCAGGCCAGGATAGGAGGGGGGCCCGAAAGAGGGAGACCTCAGTCTCATGACCATGCTTCCTGCCCACTTCCTGGGAGGCCAGATGCCCATGGTGCAATGGGAGGAAGTAGGCTGGGCTGGTTTGTGACTGACCCTCAAGGGGCAGTTCCAAGCTGATCTACTGGAAAGGACACTGACAGTCTGCTCTCCACCTGAAATACCACTCCCCCCCCCCCACTCCACACATACACTGCCTGGAGAAGGATGTGTTTGATTGTAGCAGTGAAATTAATGAGGGCAGGGGGTAATTCAGCCTCCTTGAGAATCCGCCTGGCCACAACAGGGTTTGGGGGTATGAAATGGTAAATGGGTGTGGTGGCACGAGAGCCAGGCAAATTCCTTCTGCAGGTGCACCTGTCTCCTCCACCCCAACACAACCAGCACCCAGGCTAGGCGGAAGTGCCCTCAGGCACAGGGATTAGCGTTGCTATGAGAACAGCAACTTGTGCAGGCGTTTGGAGCCAGAGTATCTTGCCCACAAAAATAGAGGTTTTGGGACATAACCGAATTTCTACAACCCCCAGCCTCAGCTGCACCCTTTTCTCTGATCCGGGAGGAAGACAGAAGCAGTGGGGATCCCCACCCCCATCTGGCCCTCCTAGCATAAGCAGTCCCTCTCCTGGAAGGAAAGGCTGAAGGGACCACCCAGGTGCTCTGTCCAACTCACCCCGTCCCTGCAGGCCTGCTCGTTCAGCGCTCGCACCCAAGCCCGCTGCCAGTTCTCCCGGAAAGACTTGAAAGCGAAGAGCGACGCCAGGAGGCCCCGGACGCCTGGCTCCTCAGGGGCGCCGGCCCGAGTTGCCCGCAGCCGCAGCAGCGAGCGCCACACGCCCAGCTCCCGCAGGGAACCCGTGGGCTCCGCGACTAAGGCGGGTCCCAGGCCCTGGTCCCGGGGGGCCCGCGCCAGCCACACGCCCCGGGCATACTGCAGCAGCCAGCCGAACACCGTGAGCAACGAGGCGGCGAAGAGGATCAGCAGCGCCGCCCAGCCCACGTCCCGCTGCCCCCAGCCGGGATCCATGCTCCGCGCGGGTTCCGGTCCCGGTCCCGGTCCCGGTCCCGGCTCGGGCTCAGCCGCTGCCCCGGGGGAGCATGGCCCGGTCGGGCCGCGGGGCGCGGGTGGGCTCCCCCGGGGCTGGGCGCGCGGGTTCGGGGGCTCTCCGGGGTGGAGTGACCGGGACTAGCGGGTGCCACAGATCCGGGAGAGGAGGTCCTCGAGGGTCTCAACGCCGGGGTCTCTGTCTTCGTGGTCGGGGTCCCTCCTCGCTTGGTCAGCAGTCCGACCTCAGTTACTTGCCGGCCAGCGCCCGACTCCTCCCACGGCGCTGGCCCCGCCGGACCCTGGCGGGGACTGGTCTGCAGAGACGCGGGGGCTCCAGGCCGGCACCGGCTCGGAGAGGGCTGCGTGCGCAGAGCTGACACTGACAACACCGCCGGCGCCCCGCCCCCACCCGCCCTTAAAGGAGCGACACCCGCGCCGGGCGGGGCCGGGCCAGCCCCGAGCTCCCTAGCTAGAGGAGGGCGGGAGGATGAGGAGCGAGCGTAGGAGGTCCTGCGGTTGAAAATAGGCGGGACCTTTGACTACTCGGTCCCATCCTGGAGTGGAGGTGCTCCTGCTCGCCTTAGCTAACGGCAAGAGTAATGTCACTTACATGAGGTGCTGCCCCTGTTTTCCGCTAGGCTTCTTAGATTTCTACAGGTTGGACGCCTGTGGGGTTAAGAAGGAGGTGACCCCTGTGGAAATCACCGCCCCTTCTCCCAATAACCCAGGCGCAGCAACTTCCAGGCTCCCATTGCCTGGCCAAACCTAGACCCAGGGTAAGGAGGTGCAGGGCATCCCTCCCACAGTGTCCAGACGTCCACAGAGAGAAAGCAGAACCCGAAGCTGGTAGAGGTTGAGAATAAAACACGGAATATTGAACTCCCTCCATCACTTCCCATCCCCTTGGAGCTAGGACCCAGGAACACCACCATTAACCTCCTTGCTAGTGTGGGTTTGTTCTGGAGATATTTCCCAGGTCAAGGCTGCATCTGTTTTTAAAAATAACATATTTCCATAGTAACAGCTTCTGCCTATGGAGCACATGAAGAGGGGGTGGTAATGGGAGGGGAGCTGGCAGTGTAGCAATGGACTATCAATAGATTCAGCCAAAAGACCCTGTCATCCAAATATGTGATGACCCAACAAGCTCCGGAGAAATGGTAGGTACACTCCCCAACCTCTGGCCTCAGGAGCTACCCCTTTTCATAGGTTCAGGTAGTGGGTTCAGTCTCTATAGGACCAGGGCTCATCTTTGCTTCCTGGAGACAGGGGAAGGAAAAACCTACCCAAGTATTAAAAGGAATCCTGGGCTGGGTGCGGTGGCTCACGCCTGTAATCCTAGCACTCTGGGAGGCCGAGGTGGGTGGACTACTCGAGGTCTGTAGTTCGAAACCAGCCTGAGCAAGAGCGAGACCCTGTCTCTACTATAAATAGAAAGAAATTAAATATGTATATGTATATATATATATATATATATTAGCCGGGCATGGTGGAGCATGCCTGTTAGTCCCGGCTACTCAGGAGGCTGAGGCAGTAGGATTGCTTAAGTCCAGGAGTTTGAGGTTGCTGTGAGCTAGGCTGACACCATGGCACTCTAGCCCGAGCAACAGAGTGAGATGCTGTCTGGAAAAAAAAAAAAAAAAAAAAGAATGCCTTCCAGTCTGGGTACGGTGGCTCATGCCTGTAATCCTAGCACTCTGGGAGGCTGAGGCAGGAGGATCCCTTGAGCTGAGGACTTTGAGATGAGCCTGAACAAGAGCAAGACCCCGACTCTACTAAAAATAGAAAAATTAGCTGGGTGTGGTGATGCATGCCTGTACTCTCAGCTACTTGGGAGACTGAGGCAGGAAGATTGCTTGAGCCCAGGAGTTTGAGGTTGCGTGAACTAGGCTGATGCCACAGCACTCTAGCCTGGGTGACAGAGCAAGACTCTGTCTCAAAAAAATGTTTTTGAGATGTTTTATAAAGTGTGTGGTTGCAAGACAGAACCCTGCAGGTAAACAACAGGTTTGTCCAAGCCAGAGGAGGTGGTGGGGTAGTCTGGGGCATCCCTGGATTTCCCTGTGAGAAATGACAGGGAGAAGAGGGATGATGAGGTAACCTTGCTGTGCTCTTGCCCATGCATTGTCACTGGACTCCACAAACAACGGAGATATTCCCAGAGTCTGGGTTTCTAATCTTAAGGGGAGGAAAAGACATGAAAGCAATAGAAGAGAGAACTCAGGGCCAGAACCTAGGGATGCAGGAGGAAGCTGTCAGTGGGCAGAGCAGCTAGGGCTGGGGGAGCAGGTTATGCAGGAAGTTGTCTAAGTGCAAGTTTTCCTCGAGAAGATCCTTTCCCCCCCAAGAATCCTTCTTTAGAACCCTCGGAACAAACAAGGATCTCAGTTCTCTGAGTTCTTGGATTTATTCTGCCAACTCCTCCACTGAGCACTGGTCCTATGCTGCCAGATCCTGCTTCACAATTCAATTTAATGTGAGTTTCCCTAGTTAGTCCTCCCAATCTTTCACCTGTTACTTAGATCTTTAGCACTTTTTTCATTCTGCTTTAGGGTCTAGCTGGTTTATATGTCTGTTTTTTCCACTTATCAGGAAGCTTCCTAAGAGTGGGGACCCTGTCTTACTCATCTCTCTTCCCTCATATTCAAACAAGGTGTTTTAAATATGCTGAAGTAGGCCGGCACGGTGGCTCATGCCTGTAATCCTAGCACTCTGGGAGGCCGAGGCAGGCAGATCGCTCAAGTTCAGGAGTTCAAAACCAGCCTGAGCAAGAGTGAGACCCTGTCTCTACTAAAAATAGAAAGAAATTAATTGGCCGACTAAAAATACATAGAAAAAATTAGCCGGGCATGGTAGGCACATGCCTGTAGTCCCAGTTACTCAGGAGGCTGAGGCAGGAGGATCACTTGAGCCCAGGAGTTTGAGGTTGCTGTGAGCTAGGCTGACACCATGGCACTCTGGGCCTGGGCAACAGAGTGAGACTCTGTCTCAAAAAAAGAAATAAATTAAATAAATAAAATAAAATAAATATGCTGAAGTAGACTCCTTGGGGACAAGGAACTGCATGTATTTATTTTTGAGACAGAGTCTCACTCTGTTGCTTGGGCTAGAGCGCCGTGGCATCAGCCTAGTTCACAGCAGACTCAAACTCCTGGGCTCAAGCAATCCTCCTGCCTCAGCCTCCTGAGTAGCTGGGACTAACAGGCATGTGCCACCATGCCTGGCTAATTTATTTCTATTTTTAGTAAAGATGGAGTCTTGCTCTTTCTCAGGCTGGTCTTGAACGCCTTACCTTGAGTGATCTTCCCACCTCGGCCTCCCAGCGTGCTAGGATTACAGGCATCAGCCACTGCACCTGGCCAAGCAACTATATTTATATCACTTTGTGTCTCTCACAGTACCTAAGAGTTTCCTATGCATATAGTAGGGATTAGCAAATTGCAATTTTAAGAAGTCTAGCAGAAAATATTCAAATGTGCACTAAGAATTTCTATATTGTTTCTATATTTTGAAAAATCATTCATGTCATCCCAATGGAATGGGAGATCTTGGGACCTGCCTTCAACTAACAACTTTTGCTTGATTGAAAGGGGAGAGGTTGGAAGAAAATGAAAAAGGGTGACTTAGCTGCCTGGACAGAGCCACAGATAGGGTCCTGCAAATGTCACAGTCCCTGACTATACAGAGCTGTCTGACAGTCTTTTTAGGCACTGTGAAACAATTTTGGGATAGGCTTTGTCTGGCAATAAGACATAATAGTGAATTGGCCTTGCTTACTGGAGGAAATGTGCATCTCAGACATTGTCTGCTCAGCCCAGAGCCATTGACAGCTGATCTGTGAGTCCTAGGAGCTGCTTCAGTGTTCAGGCAAATGCTTTGAACTTTTACCAGGAAAGGCATAAAATTTCAAGTAAGGCCAATAGTTATGTATTTGTTTGTTTTTCCCTATGATTAATCTGACAATCAACTGGGCATTTACCACCATGGGAACAAAATATTCAGATTATGTGACAAGTATCCTAGTAACCATTTTCTGATGGTAACATGTAAACGTGGATGATGAATCCCCAGTGTCTTGTTTTTGATCATGTCCTTCTTCCTACTCTCTTGGGTGCAGGAGGGTAGTGGTGGAGAGGGCTAATGATCTCTGGAGAAGAAAGAGACAAAGCTTCCCAATGCCAGACTGGGAAGGAAGATTAGGATTGGCCTCGTAATAAAAAAAGGAAATAGATACAGACTGTCTCCCAGACCTCCAGGGAGTCTCGACATGCTCCTGATCAACAAGATATTAATAACTGAAGGCTGCCTGCTCTGGGAATCCCACAAGCTCCTCCTTTCCACCTGCTTCTGGCATCTTACTCTCCCCATTTGGAAGGCCCTTCCACTCTTACCACCTACTGAAATCTTTTGAGATACTACTCTTCCTCAACACCCTCTCACTTTCCCTGGTCAGAACTAACTGCTCCCTTCATGTGCACCTATTGCTCTCAGTACCTCTTTTAGACTCAGACTCATTATGTGTCATGATGCTTTGTACACAGATATCTCTGTGTTCCTTGCCCCAAAGGACACCCTGTGGAACAGAAAACACTTGCCTCCAGGGAGCTTCCAGTCTAAGAGGGGCAAAAAAAAAAACCCCCACACACACACACACAGAAAAACAATGCCAGTGGGATAATAAGTACTGCAAATTTGGCGGAATACTGTCAAGCAAATTACAGAGATTATATATGTATGTATATATGTTTATGTATTTTATACATATATGGTTTTTTGTTGTTAATTAGAGCCATCTTCAAGTAGAAAAGACATTTCACACCTGGTTTTGAGAGAAAGAAGAGACTATCTTTGGCCTAAAAAGTGTTAACCTGACTCTGACTCCTGGAACATGCCATATTCATTGGAGTGGTCAAAGTGCCAAGCTATTCCAGTCCTCTCCTAATCTCTCAGGTGGTGATTTCATCTCTGAGGAATGAAAATCATATGCCTTCTAAAAGCCTGTGGAAGAATGAAAGAGGATGAAGACGCTGATGAATTGTTAGCTGCAGGGGAACAGAGCCAAGCAAAAGGCATGGTCACCTGGAGGAAGAAATCAGGAAGCCAGGTGTGAATGTGGTTCTCCTGCCTCCTTAGCTCTTTCCAACGCCTCAGCCTACATCTAGTTTTAGAACCTGGCACAAAGTAGTGATCCAGGGCCAAGTTGAAGTCCCGATTTAAATCCAAGACCTGAGGGCACTTCCAGTTCTCCTTCCGTGAGAAGAGCCCCGTAGGGTTGCCCAGCAACTAACTGCTACAGTGGAGGCAAAAGGTGGGTGGGATGTTGAGGAAAAAAAAAATACTTGGATGAAGGACAAGGAAAAAGAGTGGAAAGTGCTTTTCAAGAGTCTGCGCTTTAGAATTGACATCATCCTTCCAAATTCTAGCTGCATTTCCGGGAACCGAGTTGTGTTTACCTTGGCTTCCGACTACGTTGGCAACAGGTTTTCTACAAGGAGCAAGTGCAGCTCCACACCCTAGTACCTCCTGCCCACCCCCTGGCTTCCAGTAGCTGTGTTCTCAGCTCCAGTGGCATCTCAGATTAAGCGCGGGGTAGTGTCCCTTTAAACGTCACCTGCGGAGGCGTAGGGAGCTAAAACCGACGTGGAACCAGAGTGTGAGCAGCGTCCGACACGTGGTACAAGGAGGCGCTCATCTTGGAACTGGGCAAAGGGTATGACCGCTCTGGGCTGTACATCTTTAATGTAATATTAGAAAAATATCTGCTCTTGTTTGGCTTTCTTTAATTGCTTTTCCAACGTTCTCGTGATAACTCTACTCTCGCACAAAAGATGAAGTTTAAAATAACACTTCCGTCCCAACTCTAGTGCCCATATTAAAAATGGCGACCACCGCTCGCCGCAGCAATAGTTGCTCTGCGAACAAGATCCGGGCGGAAACAGGGGGTAGGCAGGTGCAGCAGGGCAGAGGTTGCTTTACAAGGGGCTCTCCGAGGTCGCGCGGGCGGCTCAAGTCAGAACTGTCCGGTTTTGCATAGGCGGGTGTGGAAAGAGCCTGCCTGTGGGAGTGGCCAATTCTTATTGCTGAGACCTTAGGACTCCTGCCCAGCTTGGCTGTTAGCGGAGGAGGCGGCGGAGCGGGCCCCTGACTGCTCAGCATGTGGGCCTTCCCGGAGTTGCCGCTACCGCTGCTGGTGAACTTGATCGGCTCGCTGCTGGGATTTGTGGCCACACTCACCCTCATCCCGGCCTTCCGTGGCCACTTCATCGCCGCGCGCCTCTGTGGTCAGGACCTCAACAAATCCAGCCGGCAGCAGATGTGAGCAGCGGCATACGGGTGCTGGGTGGGCAACAAGGGCTGAGGAAGGAGTGGGCAGGGCAGGGACAGGGACTGGGGTGCTTGACAATGCGTGTGTGGAGCCCCAGAGCTAACCCAAGCAAACTGGGACTCCGAGAAGTGATGGGCAGAAGTGGTTAGCATTAGGGAAGGACTAGGTGGAGGATCCTTGGGTGTATCAGGGTCTCCAGCAGTGATGCCCTGCTTCCACCCCCCCTTACCATCCCCCACAGTAAAAAACTGGGAATGAGTTTTTTGGATAATTGTAATGCCTACAATAGTGAGTGACCACGCCCCCTTTCCTCTTCTCCCTCCACGCGCTTGTTGGTGGGCTACAGCCCAGAGTCCCAGGGAGTGATCAGCGGTGCTGTTTTCCTTATCATCCTCTTCTGCTTCATCCCTTTCCCCTTCCTGAACTGCTTTGTGAAGGAGCAGTGTAAAGCATTCCCTCACCATGAAGTAAGTGGGCTGGAGGGGGTGGTTGCCTGTGTCTGGGGCCTGGGTGGTACCTGAGACAGTTGGGGTTATTTGTGCTTGGGAGGAAGGGCTGAGGAATGGTCTGAAAAGACAGGATTTCTTGAAAGGTGGAATGGGAGTAGACTTGAGTCATGACCTGCCCGAGCCTCCCCCAGTTTGTGGCCCTGATAGGTGCCCTCCTTGCCATCTGCTGCATGATTTTCCTGGGCTTTGCGGATGATGTACTGAATCTGCGCTGGCGCCATAAGCTGCTGCTGCCCACAGCTGCCTCACTACCTCTCCTCATGGTCTATTTCACCAACTTTGGCAATACAACCGTTGTGGTACCTAAGCCATTCCGCCCGATTCTTGGCCTGCATCTGGACTTGGGTAAGTAGCCCTGCCACTACTGCCCCCATGGCACCTATTTCAGGGCACCCTTACCCCTGAGATATCTAGCAGAGTACCCTTCCTGGTGCTCCACATCTCCAAGTGTCCTTGTTCTGTCCCTGTGTCTTCTCATATCCTTACTGGTGGAACCTTCATCCTGACCCTGTCCTTACCACTTTTCTCAAATTCTTAAATTCTCATTCCCTATGTGTCCCTCCAGGAATCCTGTACTATGTCTACATGGGGCTGCTGGCAGTGTTCTGTACCAATGCCATCAATATCCTAGCAGGAATTAATGGCCTAGAGGCTGGCCAGTCACTAGTCATTTCTGCTTCCATCATTGTCTTCAACCTGGTGGAACTGGAAGGTAGGTGGGATTGGGGGTGGGGAGAGAGAAAAATCTGAGTGTTAAGGGAGTTGCCTGATATATGGCCTTGGGGAATTCAGAAAAAAAACCATATGTAAGTAATTATAGAAGATAATTATATATTTATATATAGATATTATATAGAGAGATATATAATGATATATACAATGTATATGTACAATATATACAATAGATATATACAATGAAGATTATTAAAAGTGAGAAATAAAAATAGCCTCAAAGCCAGGCATATGGTGCCTTGTACCTGTAATCCTAGTTGTCCCAGAGGCTGAGGCAGGAAATTTGCTTGAGCCCAGCAGGCTGCAGTGAGCTATGGAGCTATGGTTATGTCACTGTCAGTCTGGATGACAGACTGAGATCACACCTCAAAAAAAAAAAAAGAAAGAAAGAAAAAAGCAGATAGGTCATTCATAGCTGAATTGGCACTACCTAGGCCATGAGCTGTTCTTATTGAACATAAGCAATTTTACAGAACCCCAACATTAGACAACACTGACTGTGATGGAGCAAGACAAAAACCAGACCCCTCCCTCCATGTCAGCACAGATAAAACCATAAGAACACTGGGCAACCCACAAAATGATCAAGATCCCTCTCTCAGCTAACATGAGAGACACTCGCTTCTTTCCAATAACATCTCAGTTCCTCCCACTTCTTAGAAAAAGTTAAGATGCTCAGTCATAGAATTAGTCCTTCTTTCTGACAGCACCCAGTCCAGAGCAAAACTGTACTTTCTTATACCCTCCCCCAAATTACCCAAAACAAATCCTACAACAAGCCCCTCCTAATACCCCCCTACTGAGGCATACTATGGTTCCTCATGGTGTGTGGTTTTTGAAGTCTCCCTTGATATGAGTCAGTAAATGAAGCTTTGACTATAGCTGTGTTTCTACTGGCCTTTGGCTGGTGGACATCAACAAGTGCTTATTGGCCTGGCGCGGTTGCTCACGCCTATAATCCTAGCACTCTGGGAGGCCAAGGCCGGCTGATCGCTAAAGGTCAGGAGTTCGAAACCAGCCTGAGCAAGAGCGAGACCCTGTCTCTACTAAAAATAGAAGGAAAATAATTGGACAGCTAAAAATATATACAAAAATTAGCCGGGCATGGTGGCGCATGCCTGTAGTCCCAGCTACTCGGGAGGCTGAGGCGCTGAGGCTGAGGTAGTAGGATCACTTGAGCCCAGGAGTTTGAGGTTGCTGTGAGCTAGCCTGATGCCACGGCACTCTATCCCAGGCAACAGAGTGAGACTCTGTCTCAAAACAAAACAAAACAAGTGCTTATTAAAGCTGAACACTTTCTAAACATTATTTTATTTAAATATTGTAATGGCTTTATGTGACAGGTATTATCATTAGCCCTATTTTACAGATGAGAAAACTGAGGCTTAGAGAAGTAAAATGTGTCATGGTCAAGGTCACACAACTAGGAAGTAAAGCTGGTATTGAAACCTAGGTCAGAATGGTCTAAACCAAATTTAAGACAGTAACTAGCTTAAGAAAGCTTCATGAAAGAAGCCTGGTGGGGGGGCGGTATCTGCACAGACAAACAGAAGTGTAGGTGATGGTTTGAGGCATCACCACCAAGCTGGGAACCGGAGATATGGCTGAGAAGGACCCTGAGACCATGCAGGATCTCACCTCGGTGGTGCAGATACTCCTGAAGCAGATGCAAGATAAATTTCAGACCATGTCTGACCAGATCATTGGAAGAACTGATGATGTGAGTAGTTGCACTGATGATCTGGAGAGAAACATCAGAGACCTCATGACACTGGCTGGAGTGGAAGAACTGGAAGGTGAAAACAAGATACCTGCCACACAAAAGAGTTGAAGTTTGCTAATACTTTACACTGAAATCTGGAATACCATCTTTCCAAGACAAGAGAAGACTAAATGGCTTTTTGCAGCTAACTACTATGTGTAGACAGGTTTTATATTATAAAATGTCCATTCTTATCACATACTATATAGTTTATAGAGTGATTTATCCCCCAGTTTCTTAAACATGGTTTTTTTCTTTTTCTTTTTTTTTTTTTTAGTCTCACTCTGTTGCCCAGTCTATAGTGCCGTGGCATCAGCCTAGCTCACAGCAACCTCAAACTCCTGGGCTCAAATAATCTTTCTGCCTCAGCCTCCCAAGTAGCTGGTACTACAGGTATATGCCACTATGCTATGCCCGGCTAATTTTTTCTATATGTTTTTAGTTGGCCAATTAATTTCTTTCTATTTTTAGTAGAGACAGGGTCTCGCTCTTACTCAGGCTGGTTTTGAACTCTTGACCTTGAGTGATCCACCCGCCTCAGCCTCCCAGAGTGCTAGGATGACAGGTGTGAGCCACCACGCCCTGCCTGCTATTAATTATTAAACACTAAATCTGGTGGTTCCTACAAAAAAAAAGAAAAAAGAAAGAAGCCCAGATGAGACAAAAGGAATTTTCCTGGGTAACACAAAAGGGGCACTGAGTTCTTGAAAGTGACTTGCGTGAGGTGGATGATACAGCTGAGGACAGAATTTAGAGACAGGCAAAAATAAGACCCAGGTCTGCAGGGGAAGTGAGTATTAACTCTGCCTTCTTTTTTTTTTGCTCTGCTTCCAAAGGTGATTATCGAGATGATCATGTTTTTTCCCTCTACTTCATGATACCCTTTTTTTTCACCACTTTGGCATTGCTCTACCATAACTGGTAAGTAGGCCTGTGGACAAGGGGGACAACTATCTGAACATGTGGCAAAGATGGTTCTGATCGTAACCCACTTCCTGGTGGAGAGGCTGAACCTCTCCCCATCATACCTGTGTTGAGTCTTTTCTGGCTCTTCTATTGGTAGTATTCTGAAATTGCTCTCTACCCAGCAGTAATTGGGGATGAGTGCTGTGGAGCCCCAAGGAATAGATGAATTCAGGGCCTGGGATCCTGTATAGGTGCTAGGATAGCTGGAGTCTCTGAGTCAGAACTAGTGTCAGGGCTAGGCAAGAGCCCAGAGTGTGATGTGAGACAAAGGATTGGTAAGGCCTCTTGCCGCTAGCTCAGATCCTCTCCCCCACACAGGTACCCATCACGGGTGTTTGTGGGAGATACCTTCTGTTACTTTGCTGGCATGACCTTTGCCGTGGTGGGCATCTTGGGACACTTCAGCAAGACCATGCTACTCTTCTTCATGCCCCAGGTGTTCAACTTCCTCTACTCACTGCCTCAGCTCCTGCATATCATCCCCTGCCCTCGCCACCGTGTGCCCAGGTAGCTGCTTTGGGGCTTGAAAGGGACATCATCATAGCCTTTTCACTTGGGACATCTAAAGCCAGCCTATATTTGCTTGTAAAAGGAGCGGGCCCAAAGAAGGCCTATTTCCATCTGGGTTGCCCTTTGTAATTTACTAAGTACATTTATTTACATAATCTCAATTAATGTTCACAGCCATTCTAATCACACAGTATTAAGCAGCAGAGCCAGAAATAGATCTCAGGTTGACTCCACATTCAGTCCTCTTCCTATTAATTAACCACAGAGAGGAGAGTTGTTTGAGCAGTGGCCCAGTCACATGCAGCTATCTTCCCCCCCGCCCGCAGACTCAATATCAAGACAGGCAAACTGGAGATGAGCTATTCCAAGTTCAAGACCAAGAGCCTCTCTTTTTTGGGCACCTTTATTCTAAAGGTAACAGGGTAACAAGGAGGTAAGGCCCTAGGTTACCATCTTGAACTTGGGGAATGGGGAACCTAGGCCTACATCATATCCAAGGGGTACTTGGAAGCATTAAGCAGATCTCCATTCCTAAAGCATAGGTATTAACTGAAGTTCTCTTCACCTCTGGCCCCTCCAGGTAGCAGGGAGCCTCCGGCTAGTGACAGTGCGCCAGAGTAAGAATGAGGACGGTGAATTTACGGAGTGTAACAACATGACCCTCATCAACTTGCTACTTAAAGTCTTTGGGCCCATACATGAGAGAAACCTCACATTGCTCCTGCTGCTGCTGCAGGTGAGGTTGGGGATAGGGTTTACACCTCCTTGTCTCCTTTTCTTCATGGTTCTTACTCCAGTTCATTTCTCCTTGCAGATCCTGGGCAGTGCCGTCACCTTCTCCATTCGATACCAGCTTGTCCGACTCTTCTATGATGTCTGAGTCCCCTGATCATTGCCCTTACCTCACAGTCTCCAGGGTTCCGCCGTCTGTACCAAGACTGCCTCCTGGCCCAGGCCACTCCCACCCCTCAGACTCCGCCAGATTTCGTTCTCAGCATTTTCCTTCCCTTGTGATTATTGACATTCTGGGCTTTCTTGCCCTCTATTGACTACTGATTGAATTTCGCCTATGGCTTTCTCCAACTTGCCACTCTCTCCCTTTCCATCCCATCTTTGCAGCCTCATAAGGTGGGATACAGCAGCTTTTATGTAGTTATCCACAACTCCAATTTCAGAGCTCTGACTCTCAAGGAATATGCTGGGCGGGCCCTGGGGTAGAACCTGGGCTAGGGACAGGGACATAGGCATCAAAGTGACTTGACATTTGACTGTAAATTAAGTGTTCTGATTAGTAAGAGCAGACCAGGGGGCCAGGTGCTCCCAATGGTGACAATAAAGTGTTGTCTTTTTCTTATTGTTGTTCCTGTAGGTATATTTCCTATATAGGTATTTTAGGGTAGATTGGAAGGGTTGGTGAGGGTACCTCCTTCAAGAGGATGCCTATCTCTCTGCCCCATCAGGTTCCTTCTAACAAGAGAACAGAACAGAAACCTGACAGAACATGTTGAATAAATATTAAAATCCTGATACTTAAGGTGGTATGGAGGACCTAAGACTGGAGTTATCCTGTTCTCCCGCATGGGACTGAACTTTCAGGGGATCTCATTTCTTTTCTTAATTTTTTTTTTTTTTTTTGAGACAGAGTCTTGCTTTGTTGCCCAGGCTAGAGTGAGTGCCATGGCGTCAGCCTAGCTCACAGCAACCTCAAACTCCTGAGCTCAAGCAATCCTCCTGCCTCAGCCTCCTGAGTAGCTGGGACTACAGGCATGCGCCACCATGCCCGGCTAATTTTTTTCTATATATATTAGTTGGCCAATTAATTTTTCTATTTATAGTAGAGACGGGTCTCGCTCTTGCTCAGGCTGGTTTCGAACTCCTGACCTCGAGCAATCCACCGGCCTCAGCCTCCCAGAGTGCTAGGATTACAGGCGTGAGCCACCTCCCCCGGCCCTCATTTCTTTTTCACTGTTGCTTTGCCAGATTAGGAGGGAGTGGGGAGTAACCAGACTGCAAGGGGAGGCAGAGGTAGTTGTAGTAAATCCTTTAAAAATCCTAGGCCAGCTTTTAAGGCGACTGGGCCCACCCAGGAGCGGAATGCCTACACCCGGTAATACTCCCCGGTCGGACGGAGTAGCACCAGGAGGCTGCGCCCGCAGCCGCCTAGGCAAGCCGACAGCTTGGGCGGAGTCCTCCCGCACGCGCTACGCCCCGCCCCTACGTGCTGCGTTTCGCTCCCGCGCAGCGAGCGCCGCGCCGGATTGGGTAGCGCTGCCACGTCAGGGGCGGGGAGAGCGTCCTCGCGTCCGGGTGTCTTCCGCGGGCTTCGGCAGGGGCGCCGGCAGTGGTTGGTGGGAAATGGCGGAGTACTTGGCCTCCATCTTCGGCACCGAGAAAGACAAAGTCAACTGTTCATTTTATTTCAAAATTGGAGCGTGTCGTCATGGAGACCGGTGCTCTCGGCTGCACAATAAACCGACCTTTAGCCAGACCATTGCCCTCTTGAACATTTACCGTAACCCTCAAAACTCTTCCCAGTCTGCTGACGGGCTGCGCTGTGCTGTGAGCGATGTTGAGATGCAGGAACACTATGATGAGTTTTTTGAGGAGGTTTTTACAGAAATGGAGGAGAAGTATGGGGAAGTTGAGGAGATGAACGTCTGTGATAACCTGGGAGACCACCTGGTGGGGAACGTGTACGTCAAGTTTCGCCGTGAGGAAGACGCAGAAAAGGCTGTGATTGACTTGAATAACCGTTGGTTCAACGGACAGCCGATCCACGCCGAGCTCTCGCCCGTGACTGACTTCAGGGAGGCCTGCTGCCGCCAGTATGAGATGGGGGAGTGTACGCGGGGCGGCTTCTGTAACTTCATGCACTTGAAGCCCATTTCGAGAGAACTGCGGCGCGAGCTGTATGGGCGCCGGCGCAAGAAGCATAGATCGGGGTCCCGGTCCCGGGAGCGTCGGTCCCGGTCTAGAGACCGTGGTCGTGGCGGGGGCGGCGGGGGACGGGAGCGCGACAGGAGGCGATCTCGAGACCGTGAAAGATCTGGACGATTCTGAGCCGAGCCATTTTTACCTGACGTCTGCTAGGAAGTGTTGTTGATTGTACAAACCAGTTCATAATCGGAATTTTTTAAAAAGAAATTGCATGCACGAGGCCCTGGGTTTAATCCCCACACAAAAAAATGAAATAAATAAATAATACAAAAATTAAAAAAATAAAAAATTTTTAAAAAACTCTGAAAGATGGTTTCTGAAAAAAGACTTGCAGTGATAAAAAAAAAAAATCCTATTTCCCAGAGGCCGGCTAGGTGGCTTCAGGCTCCACCCCTTTTATCTTCCGGTTCTCATCTCCGGCTGTAGTGTTTAAATTTCGCGCGCTTTACAAGCATTGGCTGCATCAGGGAGTGTTCGGCAGTCTGCGCGCTACCTCTCTTGCTCGCCTTTTTCCCCGGGCAAAAGGTTTTCAAATTCGACCAATCGGCGAGCGCGTTCCCACAGCCGTAGCGCGACACCGAGGGGTTAACCACAACCAACCACAAGCAGGTATTAGAGAAAAGAGCCAATCAGGAGGGCGCGGAGGTGTGCCTGGGGGCTTATAAGGGAGGCCCTGCGGCGCGCGCGGCGGCAGTTGGGCTGTGGCGTGTCTGTTCCTGCGTGTCTCTGAGGCGTTCGTCTTCACAGGTCTACCTCGCGCAACATGTCTGGCCGCGGCAAAACCGGCGGCAAGGCCCGCGCTAAGGCCAAGTCGCGCTCGTCGCGCGCGGGTCTGCAGTTTCCCGTGGGACGCGTGCACCGGCTGCTGCGGAAGGGCCACTACGCCGAGCGGGTCGGTGCCGGCGCGCCTGTGTACTTGGCGGCGGTGCTCGAGTACCTCACCGCCGAGATCCTCGAGCTGGCGGGGAACGCGGCCCGCGACAACAAGAAGACGCGGATCATCCCCCGCCACCTCCAGCTGGCCATCCGCAACGACGAGGAGCTCAACAAGCTGCTGGGCGGCGTGACGATCGCCCAGGGAGGCGTCCTGCCCAACATCCAGGCCGTGCTGCTGCCCAAGAAGACCAGCGCCACCGTGGGGCCGAAGGCACCCGCGGGCGGCAAGAAGGCCACCCAGGCCTCTCAGGAGTATTGAGGGGTGCCTGCGCCGCTGCCGGCTGCTCCCGGCCGCCCAGCCCTCCCCATGCCATCACAAAGGCCCTTTTAAGGGCCACCACCGCCCTCACGGAAAGAGCTGGGCCACATCGGGCTCCGGGGCGGGCGGGCCGCGGCCCCCGACTCCGCTCCCTTCGCGCGCTGCCGCCGCCCGGCCTCCCACCCCCGTGCCTCCCTTCCCCCGCACGGCTTGTCGCGTCGGCCTCCCGCCCGCGCCGCGCCGCTCAGGGGCCGCGGGCCGGCAGCCCTAGGAGGGAGGGCTCGGGGCCTCCGGGGCGCGAGGCGGCTGGGGGCGCAGCGTCTGCCCGCCTTGGCTCTCGTGTCTCCGCCGCCCCATCCTCAGAATTGCTGATGGGCTGCGGAGAGGCAGCTGCACCTTCTGGAAGACACGGCGTTCCGCTCTGAGGTGGCGGGGAGCGGGCGGCCGAGAAGGCCGGCGACCCTGAAGGTGAGTGATTCCCTCGGCAGCTGCAGCCTGGTCGTCTGCTACTTCTCCAGCTTGGTGCTTAGTCCGGGACTTTTCAGACGTGACTGTTGATTTCCAGGCTTTGGTGGGAGAAAAATGGATCGCTTATTTTGGTTTGCTGCACCCTTTGCTGCCAAGTCCCAGGCCTTTCACATCAGATCTCCCTCCATCTTCATTCATAGGCCTGTGCAGTGTGGCCAAGACCAGACGCTTGGTAATATGAACACCTTTCCTCCAGAGAGGACTGCCTCCTAGGAAGACGTTTAGGGGAGGGCAAAGGCCTGCAGGTCAGCTTCACAGCTGGCTGTGTGGACAGCAGTTGTGTTTTCGCTGAAACCCTGGCACCTAGGCCTATGGGGCCTCCCTACTCTGCCCCATTGCCCTTCCAGCAACTCAATTCAGCAAATCCAAGCACCTAGATACCAGCACAAGTCGGTTAATCCCTGTCTGGACTGAGCCTCTGTTGGCTTCTGAACTGGAATTTTGCAGCTAACCCATCCAAGACTAGAACCTTTTAGGTATTGGGGAGTTTTAGATGGACTAATTTTATTAAAGGATTGTTTTTTTAAAATGAACCGTCTTTCTGTTTTCATTTTGCAAGAGTTGTAGGATTGATGACTGCGTATATTTTAATAGGGTGGGAGGGGCTATGTTGTATAAATAGGCTCTACTGTTAACTGGAGGAGGGACAAGCCATAGGGTTTTAAATTATGGCTCTCTTGCTTTTTTGGTGTTCCTTGGGAGACAGTTTGTTCTGTTTGAAATGAGAACTATTGAGGCAGAAACAGAAGAGTTCCAGGATAACTTTGAACAGAAGTCCATAGCCTCAGAAGGGTTAAAGAGTTTTGTGTTTGTTCTTACCCCCAACACCATCAAAAAAACAAAACCACCTTCAGAGCTGGTTTATTAGCAGAATTGGTTACATTCAAAGGCTGTGGCTTGGACTTCTTCTCTATAAAGAGTTGAAGCCCCCGCCTTCTGAGGAGGCAAGGCAGTCACCAAGGCCCCACAGTGAGGCAAGTCCCTGGAAGTCTTGGACTCTGCAGTTCACTTTTCTGGAGTAATCACTCCCCAGTTAGCAGTGAGGATGGGGCACTGAAGGCCAGGATGTAGGGACTGAACAGTGACCCAAGCACCTGTGCTCCCACAGACCAGTTAATGGGCATCATTAAGCTGCCGTGCAACATCCAGGATGTTCTTGGCTCCTTTGTTCAGCAATAAGCGGGCTAGGCTAATGCCCAGGTTCTCAGCAGCCAACTGAGCTCCTCGTGGGATGTTCCGAGCAGTGATGCCTACCAGCTGTGGATCATCCTCAGGGCCATCTTCATGCTGGATGGGAGAAGGAGGTGGGGTTTGGTGAGAATGAAAAGGAAGATTACAAGCAGTCATCTTTATGACCCTCTCCCTCAGCCTCCAGCCTTGGTACCTGGGCAGGGACATGGATGGTAGCCTGCATGGTCTCTTGCATGCTATCTGAGCCATCTAGGCTCCAGACGCCTCCAGTCAGGTACAGCTGGGGAAGAAAGAGTGGCCTAAGCATATCCTGAGAGGGGACTGCTTAGTAACCTGGCATGTGCACAGAGAAATCCCACAGTTCTTCCTTTTTCCCTGCCCTCCCACACATTTTCCCTGCTTACTTGCCCATCCTTCATAGCTGTATGCACAGCTACTGGCACACTGCAGCCCCCTTCCTGCAATGAGAAGTTCCTGTCAGCTTTAAGGGTCCTTAACACCACACTAACCACACACAGCCCTGAGATATACAGACCTCTGAGGACATAACAAATGGCAGCTGAGGACTGCCAGGTCATCCAGGTCATCTCCATACACAACATCCAACAAGAAAGTTATCACTACACAGAACATTCATTTGAGAAATCTCCTGACTATCTTTCCCAGCTCCCCAAGTCCCCAACCCTTCACAGGGGGAGCACGGGTCCTACCAGGTGCCTCAGGAAGGCCCTTTCAGCGATGCAGCGAAGCAGAGTCTCAGGATCGTGCAATACACCCACCAGATCCAAAATGTCCTGGTCCTTGGCTCGGACTTCCACACCCAGGGCCCCCTGGTGGAAAAAACAGCCTAGGATATCAGGTCTGATCTTTCTCCAACCAGTGGAGCTAAGGATGAGAACCACCCCTCCTCCACCTGCTCCCCAGGGTGTTTTGGACCAGTTGCATGCCAAGGCCTGCCCCTCCCTGAGACTTATTCTTTGGGAAGGGGGTGTAGAAGGCCATGGGACCAGCCTCTTGGTTGAGAACAAAGGCAAGGATACATCAACATGTGGCTTCCCTGGTCAAGCATACCTGGCCCACAGCATACAGGCATTCCTCAGGGTGCAGGATCTGTGGAGGCAGAACAGGCCGAAGGGTGGAGATGGGGAGGCCTAAAAGCACCCAGCAGTGACATGGGGCTTCCCTATCATCTAGAAAGTGCAGGTAGGCACAAATGGAGTCTGGCTTCTGATTCCCAATCTTCTCAGCTTGTGGTGTTAGAGGTGGGGTGGTCAAGAAGAGCATACAGATGCTCCTTGACTTACAATATGTTTATATCCTGATAAGCCCATCCTAAGTTGAAAACGTCACAAGTCGAAAATGCCTTTGGCTCAAAGGTAGTGAGTTATCTCACTTGATTGTTCACAGTCAGTTACAGATTGAACTCCTTGGTCTACTTTTTCCCGCTTCTCACTACTGCACTTGACTAGTCTTAAAATAAAAGAAAATGCCTTTAATATAGCTAACCTACTGAATAAACATCACAGCTTAGCTCAGCCTACCTTTTTTTTGAGACAGAGTCTCACTCTGTTGCCCAGGCTAGAGTGCTATGGCTTCAGCCTAGCTCACAGCAACCTCAAACTCCTGGGCTCAAGCCATCCTCCTGCCTCAACCTCCCGAGTAGCTGGGACTACAAGCATGCGCCACCATGCCCAGCTAATTTTTTTCTATATATTTTTAGTTGGCCAATTAATTTCTTTCTATTTTTAGTAGAGACAGAGTCTCGCTATTGCTCAGGCTGGTTTCGAACTCCTGACCTTGAGCAATCTGCCCACCTCGGCCTCCCAGAGTGCTAGGATTACAGGCGTGAGCCACTGTGCCCAGCTCAGCCTACCTTAAATGTGCTAAGAACACTTACATTAGCTGCACAAAATCTAACACAAAGCCTATTTTATAATAAAGTATTGAACATCTCAAGTAATTTATTGCATACCATACTGAAAGTGAAAAACGGAATGGCTGTATGGGTATTCAACAGTATGGTTTCTACTGAACATGTATCACTTCCATGTCATCATAAAGTTGAAAAATCCTAAATCTAATTGTCCTAAACTGGGGACCGACTGTACAGGCAGGAAGGAGATGTAGATTAACTGGGGAAGGGATGGGGGCAACCCTTACCTGCCCCACCCGGTTCTGCCAGCCCATGCGCTGCAGGCCAGCTGTGGCTAGGATGATGGCACTGAATTCCTGCAGCTCGTCCAGCTTCCGAAGCCGGGTGTTGAGGTTTCCCCGCTGTGGAGAAAAGCTAAGGACCAGGAGTATTGAGCAATCTGGAGTTTCATGCTGTTCCCTGAGCATGCCTGAGTCTGTCTTTCCTTCTCTGTTTGGCTGAATTCTACTCATCTTCCAGTTCTCAGCTTAATGATAACAGCTAACACTTACATCATACTTACTACACGCCAGACACTGTTCTAAAAGTGCTTTCCATATGTCAACTCATTTCATTTTCACAACTCCATGAGGGAGGTATTATTATTATCCCCATTTTATAGATAAGGAAAATCATACAGAAAAGTTAAATAACTTGTCCAAGGTTACCAAACTTCTGAGAAATCTCTCTGACCCCCAAGTCTGTATTCAGATGTTCTAGCTAGAAGCTTCCTGAGAATTCCCTATTTCACTCATTGGAGCACTTAACACATACACACTATTTTTAAAATCAGTTTCATGAAATGTACTACACATTCATTGTAAAAATCAAAACAATGTAGTAGCCTATAAATAAAAATGGAAGCACCCGCTACCCCCACAGAAGTACTCACTGTTCAGTATCACTCTACATTTTCAGTCTCTCTGTTTCCCTGTGTACACTCCATACAGGCAGGGACAATGTTTATCTTGCTTACCATTATCCCCAGTGCCAGGCACTTGCCTGGGGCTAAGAAAATAGTAAAGGATTATGAATGGGTGGATGGAAGGCCAAACAGGCCACTGACCCCATGGGTCACTTGCTCTGGAAGCCCTGTCCACTCTCAAGACTCCCAGGGTCCTCTAGACCTTGTCTTAATCTTTGGCTGCTGCCCCTCCCTTTTCTGAAAGGATACAATATTCTTGAACTCTAGATGTGGGAACCTTCTCTTCAGCTGAGCTGCTCTACGCAGGGAGCTGGTTCCCACCACGCTGCAGAGGGTTAAAATGAGATTTAACACTAGGCAACCACTGTTCCTTTCCTCTTCCCCACATCCCTCCATCGTCTGTGCACATCCTACCAAGGGGCCTATCCAGGTCCCACTCACCTCCTCTCTGGTAAGGTTTCTAGGGTCTTCCCAACAAATTTTGGGTGAAACACAACAGCATCACAGGGGTTTTCCCGCCTGAATGAGGAGGAAAGGTCATAGAATGAGGGAGATTTCAGTTCAGGTAGCATCTGTTCTCTCTCCATAGCCAATTAACCGGCACCTTCTGAGTTTTCTGCCTGGCTCGACACTGCTCAGGGCAGGGGATACAGCCCTCGGGGGAGAAAGCCAAGTCCCAAAGGGGAAAGCAAAGGTTCACATGATGCCTACCCCTGCCCGGGCCCCCTTACTTGCAGATGGCTCCAATGGTGAAGCCAGGAGGAAGCACAGTGGGCAGGTCCTTCAGGGAGTGAACAACCAGGTCTACTCTAGAGAGACAGAACAGGGAGGCAAGGAGAAAAGGCACAGGCAGCAGGCCCCCACTCCTTCTCCATCCACCCCTGCCAGTACTTCAGTGGTAGAGCCTAGGGCAATTCAGAAAGCAGACTTCCTGAGACCTCGGGACCCTGAGACCTCAGGACCCTGAGACCTGCTCTCCTCTCACCCCCCTTTCTGCCCCTCTCCCCCAGCCAATCTTGTACTACAGGTAGTCAGATGGCTTAGAACCAGGACTCTCCTTTTCTAAATCCTGGAAATACCCACTTATGAGCCCCCTCCACCCTACCCAAGGGTTTAAGCCCAGTAGCCTAGCTGACATCAGGTCTGTTGCACACTGGGGTTCTAGCAAGAGACCAGGAGGCTGCTATGCTCTCCTGTATTCACTTACTCATTCCTCTCCAGGGCATGTTCCAGCTCCTTGGTAAACAGGCTCTTCTCTCCAATCTGCCGGGTAAGAAAGAGCCTGAGTGAATCTCTTGGGGGAAGAAAGATGAAGGGGCACAAGGACTGGGGGAAGATGTTGTTACCTTAGAGAGTGCAGTATCAAGAATCTTATCCCCTGTGGTGGACATGGCAACTGAGGAGAGAGACAATCTATCAGCTGCTCATTGGTCAACATTTATTGAGCCCCTACAGAGCCCAGGACTGTGCTAAGATGCATGGTAGGGACAGAGGCAC